CTTTGGTTTTTATTTTTGAGACTTGACTGTTTCAGCTTTTCCAGGCCAAGCTGCTGTAGAATTGTAGGAAAATGTGTATGCTTTCTACGTTATAAAGCAAAATACCTGTTCAGTTTCTGCTGGAAGCAGATGTACCATGGTTTTGCCTTGGAGTTGGTAGTCAATTTGCCCCATAGCTTTACTTGTTAATAATCTTTTTTATTATTCTCAGATGGATAATTGCATTCTTGAAGGTGCAGTAGGAATTTGCAGTCCTCTGAAATCATCTAACAAATTTGCAATATTTAATGATACTTGTTTGATAAAATTCATAAGATAATGAGATTGTATCTTTCTTTTAGCTGTTCAGAAAAGGTTTTTTTTTACTGTTAATTTTACCTTCTTGATTTACTGGAGATGATAACATCTAAATATTCAAGCCTTTCATAGGAGCAGTGGAATAATTTGTAACAGTAAAACAGCTGAGGGTATTTCAGAGTCTCACCAATAAAATTCCGGCTCAGCGCTGGTTTTGCTTCATAATCTAGGATTATTTTGAGAAGGGAGAAATGCTCATTAATCAACAAGAGCTGAAATAAAAAAGATAACTTCAGAAACAAACCAGAGTGGGCAGATCCCACCGTGCCCCACAAATGGCACAGAGCTGCACCAGCATCACCAACTTGTGGGGAGCAGCGCTGCCTCCGTGTGCGCAGTGCTTCTGACAGGGGAGGGCTGGCCTTGACAAGCACTGATGGAGCAGCACTGCTATTGAGGCAGGCCCACTGAAACCGATCACCTCTGAGGAAGTTTTCTATTTATTGACTGATCCCTGAGGCCACACAGCCTCTGTGTGTCTCTCTCATCTGTATGATTTAGTAGTAGCTTTAGATAATGTTCAGCAGGTGCTTTTGTTTGTCTTTCAACCAGAAAGGAACAATATCTTCTTCCCTCGACTTCTGGGTTGTTTTCTATCTTTAATCCTTTTCTTCTGTTACTATCCCAGTGTTTTTTTTGTTTTGTTTTGTTTTTTCCAGCATTAAGTATAAAATTAAACTTGTGGTATGTTATTGTTGTTATTGTGTTGCAGGCCCCCCCCCCCTTTTTTTTTTTTTAAGACTATTGCTGTCTTTCAGAACGTTACCAAAGTGAGAAGTGTTGTTCATCTCTTGCCACACAACAACCCATGGAACACCCAGAGCCGTGCAACAGTACCAGAGTTTATGTAAACAGCAGAAAGCTGAGGGAGAATTGGTGCCTCTCTTCAGGTGCAGGCAGGGTGCATGGCTGGATGATGGTAAAGCAATCCCAGTGGCCTTCAGTTTTTCCTCATGGATATGTGCACCTTCTTTGGAGGTCTCCCTCTTTACAAACCATTTCAGTTGGGAAGCTTTCAACATGGGTGTTTTTGTTTTCTGTGGTCACAGTGAACATTCATCCTCCTCACGATATGAGCTCTGCTTGCATCTAATCTGTAGAAATTAATTGAATGTGCCATCCAAGTTTATCTGTTCCCAGAACTCGTTTCCACAAAATACTATGCTTGTGAAAAGTGTTTCCTGCTTTCTGCTTGTCTCTACTTCCTCCTACTTCTGTTTTTCTGGTACTGGTGTCTTCAGTTTTTCTCTGTACACACTCTTGTTAATATTAGAACAGATTTTTTTTTCCTTGTAGCTTCTGTGCCAGTCTTCCTGTGTTTTTCTACATTGTCAGTTCTTCATCTTTTTTAGACTAATCTTGCACGTAGTGTCCTGCGTCCCTGGAACACACCTCTCCATGTTTGTGTCTCTGCAGTTTTAATATTCCCTGTTCCTCAGGCAAGCTGAAACTATTTTGGGATGCAGTGTGACTGCAGAACGCTCTGCAGCTGAGTGGTCAGGATCCTCCCAGCAGGTGACAGCTCTGCCTGTGGCAGCAAGTGAGCTGCTGGAGATCCAGTGTGTCCCTGGGACCCATGTGGAATGGGGGGCACCCAAATATTGTCCTTACTCATCTCTGAGTCACGCGTGGAAATTGTTTTGCTCTGCTTTGGATAGAGGTAGGGAACTTGACTTCCAAGGCTTTTATAGTCAGTGGCTTTCTGTGGGTTGCTTGATCTCTGGTTTATTTTTAATCTATTTCCTAACCCTGGTGGATTTCAGTGCTTTGTTGTTGAGAAGTATGTCATTAAAGAACAGGTCTTTCTGTCTCATTATTGGAAATACGTGTATCTCGAAGGGCCTTAGTTCAGAAGGTAGGCATTTACATCTGTCGATTGAAGTGCTCGTTGTTTGTTAATGAGTAGCTATCTGTTTTATAAACATAAGTGGGGAATTTATTATTATCTGCAGAACCAGATGTTGTCTCAAGTATTTTAGGGAAGTCCTTTAGTTTGTGTCTCTTCTAGCTTTCCAGTAACAACACTGAAGCTCCATTTATGTTAGATAATCATTCTGTTGAGGAATTGCCATGTTTGGGACCCCATTTTTTGGAGCATTGGCTCATGGCATCATTGGCTCATGTTTCTCTTGGATGATGTTGAGGCTGCTACCAAGGAAGTCCAAAGGACATTAGTACAAAGATCCTTGACATTTAATAGGACAGAGTTGAGAGGTTGGGGAGCTTGTGATGATACTGAAACCCAAAGAGCAAGGAAGAAATGAAATCGATTGTACTCCAGTGTGGAAATTTCACTGAGGAAATAGAATTTGTAGGAAGAGGCTACTGTGTGGGTTGAATTGAAAAGAGGCACTTGAAAAACAGATGTGTGTTTTGATGATGTTTGTTTTATTTCTTTGTAAAATGAAGAATATTTATTTTACCTTTCACAGATGTCTAGAAAGCCAGGTTTGAGCTCAGTTAATCAGTTGCTTTTAATTGGGTTGTAATTCTTTGATAACAGACAGTATTTAGAATGATGATGAAGATTCCATGGAAATAACTTGTTGCATCTCTCAATCTGTTCGTACGTGCATTGACGTGTGCTGGGGGAGCTGCCATGTAAGCCAGTGGTGAGGGCTGCTCAGTGTTGTGCTGGTAACTGGCTGCTTCTGCCCTGACCTCTGCCACCACTCAGTTGTGTAGCTGTGCACCAGGCATTCCACTTGTTGGAGCTTCAATTTGTTCATCTCTGGAACTGAATCACTGCACCAGCGATTTTGCCACCTATCCAGTAAGTTGGCTTTGGGGACTCAGCAGCAGATTTGCTTCAGTGCAAGGTTTCCATTCTTTTCCCTAAACTCTAGAAATCTTTGATTACCTGGTGGAAACACTAAATGCCTTGACCTTGCATCTTTTTTTTTTACTTCCCAAAGACCAGGATCAGGAATGTCATTAATCTTGCCAGTAGTTTGCTCTTAGTACAGACTGATGGATTTCATGTGAGGTGATGAACTGCTTTAGCTGAAGTTTTTTTTCTATGGTTGCTGAACTACCCTTAAAGGAAGGGAAAAAAAAAAATTCCTCTTTAGTTGGTTATTCTTGATTTTCAAACATGCTGAATGATAGCAGGGGACTTTGTAATTAGGCTAACTGGAGCAGGACAGATGTGGTAATACCTGAGGTGCCACAGCTACAAGCCACCTGTGTTTTTCTGTGCATCACATTTATCAGACTTGTAAATTGACTGAGCGCTGGCACAGGTGGCCAAGAGGGGCTGTTGGTATCTCTGTCCCTTGAGATATTCAAAAACTGCCTAGATATGGTCCCATGCAGCTGCAGGTGGCCTGGCTCAGGCAGGGGGTGGAGCAGATGACCTCCAGAGGTCCTGGCCAACCTCAGCCTTTCTGTGATTTTGAAATTCAGAAAGATGCATGCAGAGCGATGTTTCCAGGGAAAAAATTCCTACGTTGATTTCTTTTCCTTCCTGACTCCTACTGATATGCCCTTAAATGAAAGCCCTGCCTCTGCCATCTGCTGTAGCTCAAGGACTTCTGGGATGTAGCTCGGCCGGCCCTTACGGCTTAAGGATTGTTGCAGAACATGGCTTTTGTGGCTGCTGGCTGAAGATCCTGTATCTGAATGGTATTTCCCTGTTCTCTCACTGGTCTTGAAGAGGAGGGAAGCTACCATGGTTTTAATAGAAAGTACTGCACAGTTAGGAGAAAATTGACTGCCCTCTGTGTTGCTTTGCTATCTGCTGGTTTATAAATTGTAATGCTTTTCATTAAAAAGGGGGAAAAAATGTAGTATCTGGTCTCTGTGGTTCCCAGATCATTAGCAGGATCAATTCTTTTTTCACTGCAGAGATCAGAGGCTACAGTCTTGCATAGCCAGACCCTCAGCTCCTGACATCCCAAGCAAACAATGCAGAAGCAGAGGAGCTTGTGTATGGCTGCCTGAATTGCTGTGCCTGGATTTTTGTCATGGTAGAAAATTCTTCCCTCACTTTGGAGCCTGTGAAAAGTGAATTTGGTCACTTCCAGGATAGGACCAGGGCAGTTTCATCAGATTGAGTACTAGAAATGTTAAGTCTCTTAACTGGAGACAGAGAGAGATTTTCAGTTGCTTCAGGAAGTTGATAATAGGATATGAAACTTTCACTTCTGAAGGAGGACTGGTAATAACTTGAAATTGTTGATATCTGAGGATGTGCGCTCTGGTGCTGGAGTGAAATAAATTGAATGTGACTCAGTCCAGTTCTAGCCCTAGCCCACCACCACTGCTAACATGATTTGCAACCCTTCTGGAGGTGCCAGAAGATTGTCTAAGAGCCAAGTGTGTAGAGCAGACTGAATTTACTTCTTAGTCATGGATGTGGTTGAGTCACAAGCTTGCGTGTTCTTGGTAAACACTGTAACTGTTCTGTGGATTAATAGTGCTCAATATACAGAGGGTTGTGAGACTGTATGTACATCATAAGATGCTGCCTTCTGCTATTATTAGTCTTAGTGTGGCTACAAGCATGCCATTTAACATGTCACAGCTTTAACCTCTCATCCCCCACAGAATGGGGTTTATGGGGTTGCTAAAATGTGATTATAAATTGCTCTGTAATACTACATAGCACGAGGCATTCTCAGTTCTTTGCTTTCCCTCTCTAGGGTGGATACATGCGGTTTATACTCCAGTAGATTCTCTGGTGTTTGGTGGAAATATCCTGCATAGCTTTAATGTTCCCATGCAGCTTCGCATCTATGAAATTGAGGACAGAACAAGGGTAAGGACACTCGATTCTCTTTTTAACTGAACAGTTCTTTGTCACTGTGATCTGTCTCTATCTTGTATCCCTTTCTGAGAAACTAGAGCTGGTGGGATCTCCATGTCAGATTGATTGAGAGGTAAACATGAAATAATGAGACTTTCAGATGCTGGCTATTTTTAGTGGCATTTACTCATCTGTTTTTCCCCTGCTTCCGACAGACACGTCCGTTCTGTATCGTCTGTTCGCCCGCTGAACTTTTTAAACACATCCCCTTTTGCACAGAAGCCTATTGCCACCACAGACCTTTGTGCCAGTACTTCTGGTAACCCCCTGCTGATTGTTTGTCTTTGCACACTGGCAATGGACATCTAAGAATGGAGAGCTAATGGGACTGAGATGGTTTTGCTGTCCACAGCTGAACTGAGGAAGCTGCAGAGAGGCTGCTTATGAAACAACATCTTCTGTGCTTAGCAGGATTTTGTTTTACAGTGACTCAATATAGTGCAAAATGTCATGGGACAGAGGCTGGGTTGGGACGTTAGACTGAAGGTTGTGATATACATCTGGGTGTAGCATCCACCTCTAGAAAGGGTACAGCATCCTGGAGGAGGTGACCATGCAGCCTCTGTGTTGGGAGTGAAAGTGATGCTGTTCATTGATAAACTTCTGTTCCTGGCTGAATTTCATAAAGTATCAGAATCCGAAGGAAGTGCCACTACTTTACTAGGCTGTTAAATAAACTGTGCAAGGCAATCAGAGCAGTGTGATACAAATTTAGATAGAGGCTTTCTGTAGCTGGCTATTGCGACAGTGCTGATAAACCACTGGCACATGTGTTAGGTGAAGTGCTCATGGAGAATGGGCTGCAGAACAGCAGGAAGCTGCAGTGCTAGGAAGTCTTAAAATGATACATCAGTAGTGTTCAGTGTTGTTCACCTCTACAAAAAGGCACAATTCTGGCTCCAAGTGGGCTTTTTGCCCCAGATCACCTTCCTTTGTGTCTGAGACACAAACGTTGCTCAGGAGTGCATCTGTAGCTCAGTGCATGGAAGGGTTTCCTGTTGCCAGCCTCTCTGCCAGTGTTGTGTTGGGAAGGGGCTGCTCCCTGATTTTGTGGGAGGTGGCAAGGCCTGGTAATCTTCATATCACAAAGCAGTGGTTGAAGTTTGGTTTTCCTAGAGTGATTTTAATGGAAAGAAGGAATCTTAAGTAGAAAAATGAATTCCTAGAGGAAGACAGGTAAAGGCAAATGCTGAAATTCAGAGCAGTTAGAACAGAAAGAATGTAGTGGAAAACAGGAGTGGAGATAAAGGACAGAATAGAGTTCAGCCTGGCTTTGAGTAGATGTTCCCAAGGCAGGAATGTGAGGTATCTGGGAGTAAAGGGACAAGAGCAAGAAAATGTTCTGATGGCAGAAGCTGGCAGGGACTTACCAGCTTCTTTTGCAGAGTGAAGGGAGCTGAGCTGAGCTGTAGGAGCCCTTCAGAGAAAAAGCAGGAGGCCAGAGATGGACTGGGGCTACACGAAGGTGCCAGGCACAGGAAGGTTCTTAGTGTCTGTCAGTAAGAACCAACAGTGCTGGGTACGTGTACTGCAGCTGCTCAAAGGGAGGTGCCTTGTTGTCATGAAGGATACTGGCACTGGCAACTTGAAGGGAAAAGAGACTATTTCCATTCATGTCTGTGGGGAAGATGGCAAGCAAATGCTCTTTTTCCTGATGTAGTAGAAGAGCTGACATTTTGTTCCCATTGGATTTAGCAACCCAAAGCCACACGTTTTGCTAGAGTTGGAACTGGTGAGTAGTGCTTCATGTCAGGCCTTTCTGGGGAAACTGGATGCGGCTTTGATCTCCGAAGCTTTTATAGCAGGAGGCAGATTGCCCCATTATGGTTAGGTATTTTTGTAACCTTTAGGAACCTGCCAGACAGTTAACTGAAATGCCTTTGAAAAGTCACTGGTACCTTGATCCTATGGGAAGGTTTCTGAGAGTGTGATATTTGCCTCTTTAAAAATGTCCTATCACTGATTTTTATGAAGGGATACTACAACATTTGGAGATCCCAAATCAGACCTTGACTTGTTTGATTTAGTTTTCTTTAAAGTCCAATGTTGTTCTTTATAATTTTCCTTTCAAGAAATACTTCAGGGTATCAAAAAAGATCAGTGAAAGCCAACAGCCCAGAACTTCCCCAACTTTACAGTAACTATTTCAGCTTTTGTACTGTATTGTGCTAGCAGTGTGAATTGGGCAGTCCTGTGCCTGTGTTTGCAGACTTGTGCTTTTAGGCAGCTTTACTATAACAAACCTGTGTGTACAGCTGAAGAATACTAAGAGTTCAAGACTGTAACAAAATATAAACCTTGCAATTAAAGTTTGATAAGAGATGGGAATTTCAGTTCTGTTACTTGGAAATAACACACACCCACTCCATCCCTCCACCCCCACCCTCCTGAAAAAAAAACAAACAAGAAAAAACATGCAGGAATCTTAAAGGATAAGTGTTTTCAAAATAGAATTCTAGTGTGTTCTGCTTTATTTGCTTTGCCAATCAAATTTTGTAATTTCTTTGTGCAAATAATTTTATTTGTCCAAATAATTTTATTCATGCACAGGCTAGGATAGCAGGCTCTGTACAGTAAGCAGTTCACACAGATTTGGCAGTGTGAACGTACTGCAAATGACTTTCTCATCAGTATTGATCTTTCCATTGTGTGCAGCACAGAGGTAAATTACATGATGTGGTTGACGAAGTAATTTGCCACACTCAAATCAAAGTGTAATACAGGTGTGTTTCCCCTCTTCATTTGGCACGGAGCAATTTTATGGAGGTTTCACTGTGTTTAAACTTGCTATATAATGCTTAATCATCTTTGCTGATATTCAGAGTCATTTTTATGCTAGGTGTAGTTGTTATTGTCTTAGCAGCTAAGACAAGAATAAATACATGGTTGAAACGGTAATGCTGATTTACAGCCTGATAAAATTGCCTGGTTTATATACTTGTCATGCTTATTCTAGCTTAATTTCTCATATCCCTGGGAGACTTCTTAAGAGGGTTATAGCCATTTTAAAATAGTTTTAAGGAGTAATAAAAAACATGTCTATTGTTGGAAACAGCTCCTAATGTGCAGTTGAGGTAAACAAATCTTCTCCAGCCTTACAGTTTGTAGAGACTCTCATTTTGCAGTCTGGCTTTCCTAGAGGCCAATTAACAGCTAGTCAAATAGGCCAAGCTGTTTAGCTCTCTGCTAGACCAGCTTGAGTACTGCAGAGCAGGCTGCCATGCTGAGATGCACCAGCTTGGCATAGGGGTGTTACAGCTCTGTGTTGCTGAAGAGGGAGAACATGTCAACCTGAGGCTCAACTCATCTGAATGTAACACATTTAAAAGAGTTGAATGTGCAGAGGGTCAGGTACACGTAAGGTGGTCACTCACAGATGATGTTTGCTGCTGATTTGGTTTTCTGGAACCTAATCTGCTAACTTTAAATACTACCTTAACTTATAAATAATCATGTATTGGTTTTCAAGATTCTGATTGGAGTGTTGAAATACAAATGGAGTTTGTAATGATCTTTATGGATATTGTGGAAGGGAAATAATTTCTTCAGGAAAATCTATGCCTTGCTTGCTTGGAGTGTTTTGTTTTGGAGGGCGATACAAGTCTCTACAATTATTTCACTTTGAACTGAAGAAATGGATCATACTCCAGAGATGATTTTTCTCACTGCAGAGGAATAATTAGAGAAAATATGCGGTGGATTGTAAATTATTAATCATAGAAGTTAGATCTGGAAACGCCCATTAGATGATGGAGTCGGTCTCCGTGCTGGTGGGGGATCTGATCCTCAGGCAGAGGCCATATCAGCTGCTATGCTTTAAATTGAGCACAGAACTTCTTTCTTTTTTTCTCCAAAATAAGAGTTCATTTGATCATAACTCAACAGTGCTGGAAGTGTGGACATGTATGCAATGCAGTTCATATCCATTATAATTAATAAATGTCCAGAGATGTCATAAATAATGTACTCCTCTCTACTTCTCCACTAGGCAAATTTTAAAAGATTTCTGAAGCAGAGTCAGGCTTGCTGTAATGGCAAAAGCCACTGTAGGTCTTTGCACAGCATCTCTTGCCTTATCTGGCAGCTCTTCTGAAAGTTTGTGAAAGCAGAGCCTTCTCGGGCAAATGGTGAATTTCAGAGGCATGAAGGGATTTGCTGTGGGTTGGAACATTGATAGTGAAGCAATTAGGAACTCAAATTGAATATTAAAGATTGATATACATAACGGGAGCACTGCATGCATTACTGCCTTGTCTTTCACATTGAATTAACATTGGTAACAACTAAATTTGGTGAAGCTCAGAATCTGTCAACAAATGTTGAGCAATGATGTCTTTAATATTCCCAGGCATGTGGCTGAAAACCTTTTGAAGGCTGAGGGGTGGAAGGCGGCTTCCTGGTTTTTGTAAGTCAATTCTTCGCAAATTTCGTTTCCTGCAGTGCTCTCTTGGAAAAATTTGAGTTCCTTTATTAGCATATATTTTAGCATGGCTAATTTCCCCTGTGTTCTGTAATAGTGATAAGTGACTGGGTCTCTTCTTTGTGACAAATAACTAAGCAGAAGGGAAGATTTTCTATTTCAAGAAGGCCCTGGGGTTAAATGTGCTCACATTTAAGGGGATGCTTGTTGGTTTTTGCTTTTCCTTTTCGTTTTCCTTTTTTATTTTTCCAGTATGTTTTTTGTAACAAAACAAAAACAGTACAGGGAAACACTGGAAGAGTTGCAGTTCTGCTGGATGCATGACCCGTAGCGACACGCAGTTCAGATTTGTCAGCTGCATTCGTGTTGGATTTAAGAAATCCTAACTTCTGGGAATTGCCATGTTGTGTGTAAATCTGACATTGTGATACCTTTAGTGGGACAACACAGTGCGTTTTCCCCTAATTACATTTTGTTTCACTGCTGAAAGTGTTTGTGTTTCCTCTGGGAGCAGTGGCAAGTTCCTTACCCACCTTGGGAATGGTTCTCAAGCATGGGCATTCTTGTAAGTCTTCAGCATGCTCAAGTGGGTGCTCCTGTCACCAGGCAGATGCTCTGACTGTGCCTGCTGTGCAGAGCCAAGCCTGAGCTGCCAGATGCTGCTGATAGTGGGTCTGTTCTGACTTTGTGGGTTTTTGGGTGATGTAGGTGGTGTTCTGTATTGTTTGGTTGTTTAAATGGACTCTCCAAGGTAATGGTATTTCTAGTGCAGTCCTGCGTTTTTATTAAAGCTGGGCAGACACCTCTTGGCTAGGTGAGCAGTTAAAATGCTTAACATGTCTTAAAGCAGTTCCTATAATGCAGTGCAGTGCATGTGTGCAGGCCTGCAAAATGCAGATTTCTGTGTCACCAGGAGCAAGAAGTGTGCAGTGTTAAGTACGAGAGCATGCAAGACGCATGGCATCCATTTTCAACAAATCGCAAACAATCTATGTATGTTGTTGCATTTTAGGAGCTTCCTAGGTTCTTCCTTGGTGCAGTGACTCCCACAAACAGCAAACTAGAGCGAAAGGCTGTGAAACCCACTTAATTTTCTTCTTAATCTGAAATAATCTCCCAGATGTACGGTGTTGGAGAATAATCTTTTTCTGTGAGAACAACAGGTCTAAGATGGAAGAAAAAGTGCACAGCTTGGCAGTCTTTTGTTACAGTCCTGCTTTCTGTTTTGTTTGTGGTAAAAGTTAACTTGCTACCAAAATATTAAGCATAAACCACAAGCCAGATTTTAACTTTTAATGTGTATTTACCAGTAATTAAGAATTTGTTCATTTGTTTAATCAAACTGTTAGGAAGGTGATAATTAAAAAAGATGCATTTCCTGCTTGAGTCATTTTAGGTAATGCTGCCATTTTGATAAAAAATCATCTGATAGTGTTTGGGAAAAGAAAAAAAATGCACTTCTATTTTAACTTCAATTCTGGCAACTAACATCTGTATGTGACCACCCTATGTTTATACTGTAGGTAAATAATGCTGTGGGGGCCGCCCATCACTTCCATGATTTCACAAGAACACAAACCCTTTCCTCTCCCACCACCCCAGGAGGATACAAATTACTGAACCAAGAAATGATGCTATCATGGCAGGCAGGCAGGCAGGCTCTCATTTTGTATGCTGAAGGCGTACGGCTCACGCGGCTCCCACCCTCCCTCCCCTCCCCCTGCACACTGTTTGTGCTCTTGATAACATGAGGAGAATGATGACTGGCCCTTGTGCTGCAAACTTCCCTTCCCCATGGACTGACAGTCTCGCTCTTGCTTTCAGGTGCATGCCAAATTCCGTTATCCTTTCTACTATGAAATGTGCTGGTATGTTCTGGAGAGATACGTGTCCTGTGTGACCCAGCGCTGCCACCTCAGCAAAGAGTACCAGAAAGAATCAATGTTAATTGGTGAGTGAATCCTTTGACTCTGTGTTCAAACCGATGCTGACACCCTAGGCTAGTTACTGCTTTGTTTTCTGCAGAGAAGATCATAAATTAAATCGGAGAATTGTAGATATTCTAACAAACTGTTTGTTTTGAGGTGGGGAGGTTTTGACTCTTAAGCGTTTTCATGAAGCACCAACTTACCCTGGTATTTATTGAGCATTCCTAAGCAAGCGGATCCCAGGAAAATAATTTCTGGATGCATTTATTTCTTGGTTTCAGTACTGTTTGTGTTGAGATGATCTGCCAAACGGTTGAGGATTTACTGCTGTGTTTGGCACAGTACCTTAGTAGCCAGAAATGCATGCATTGCGAACGTGCTCTCGTAGGATGGATATTTAGTCCTTTTATAGCGGGTCTCCTCTACAGAATGCAATTTGATCACTAAACCTGGCTTCTTTTCTTTGATCTTGACTTTAATTCTTTCTGTTTGGTGACTGACTTCTAGTTGCAGAGAATAACAAAACCAAGCATACACCTACACAAATCATATGTGATCTATAACCTAAGAACGGGGAGATCACAGAAACCTTTAAAACAACACTGGAAATGGACCACAGCAGAGATGGATGTGGGTGCCTGGGGCAGGAAGGCATTGCCTTGCTATTGGTGTGAGCTTTGCATCAGTGTGATGCAATTCCAGTTGTTGCTTTTCTGAACTATCCTTTTTTCCTTCTTCCTTTTACTGGAACGAGCCTGTGGGCCTTGTTACCTCCCTGCTTTTAAGCAAAGAATTGCCGAAAGTAGCACAAACACCAGCTAAATTTCAACCGATACATACTAAGTGTGGGGGAGGACTAATGCATTTCTGTGTTTCCCACTCTGCGATGCAAATTGGAGTGAACCTGGACTGTGTGGAAGTGTAAGAGGGAAATGACCACTTAGCAGCGTAATTCCAAGTAGAAGTAGTTGCTGAAGGTACGGGCAGAGGGACCTAAAAGCCTGTGTGAATCAGCCAGAGAAATTTCTTGGGTCCCTAGGAATTTGAGTGCTGCACATTTTGCATCATTGCTTTTTGAGACCCTGAATGAAGGGACAGTAAAACAAGAACTGCACGTGGAGGAGTTTTTGTATAAGATTATCTTGAACAAAGGACAAATTAGCCTCTTGGATTAGCGATGTAAAAAAAAGCAACAACAAAACTCTGGTAACTGCATTCCTTAGGAAATAAAGAACCAACCTACTGTTGTAAAAACCATTGGCACAGAAAGAGGCTCTTCCTGTTGGCAAGGTGGGGGTGCCAGATCACTGAGGTGTGATTTCAGAACAAATTAGATACGGAAGTGGATGGTTCAGGATATTGAGATGGGACCTTTTCCAGCTAAATCACCAGTGTGAATTCAAGCCCAGCTCAGTAATTACTGATAATGATTTGGTGATCCCCATGAAATGTGTCTCCATCCAGTTACCGGCTGGGAGATATTCCAATCATATAAAAGCTCACTGGGTACCTTAGATGTCCAGAGTCTGGATGGAAAAGGATTATTTTGCAAGACCAAAGTGTCAACCTCACAGACATCAAGTCAGCCCCAGCTATTTGGGAAAAAATTTGGTGACAACAATGTCTCTTCTTGTCTGTGAGCCTTCAGTTGTTTGTCTGCTGGAAAGTGACACTATTCTCAACTGTTTCACTGTTAATTCAGCATGGTTTTATGGCCATTTCAAGCTAATGAAAGAAACACACTGCCCTCATAAGATGAGAATCTGGTTTTGTGAACTCTTATCCTGTGAGCTGAATCAGTTCAGTGACCTGACAGAAAATGAACCCTCCCAAAAACACGTTTGTTATCAGTAAGACTGCTGGGCTGATCTGATGTGTGGCCCCACTGCAGGGATGCTGATGCCAGGCCCTGGGCTCTTGTTGCTGTCTTGAACAGATCACCTCTTCCAGTTTACTGAAGTGCTATCCACTGACAGCATGTGGTTCATCTACCTGCCTGCTATCTTTTGACTTCAGGTATTAGCATGCTGATAAAATCTCTGACATTGACATCCAGGGTTTTTCTCTCCAGGAGTGACAGATTTATACTTTGTCAAACGCTTTTTATTTCTTGGCAGAGTCTTAACCTTAAAATAATTATTTAGCTGAGAACTGCAGTTCAAAAGCCCAGATCTACTATATCTACTGGATCTTTCACTTTGGCATTTATCAAATTCTCTGCAGGAGTGAAGGTACATTATTTACCTTTACAAAGCTATGTTGTTTTGTTCTGCTTGAGTAATACTGTTCCAGATACTTGCTTGTCTTCTTTTAACTGATCTCAGCATCCAGCCTCTTGATTCAAGTAAATCTCCGTGAATTTTTATCCTTGAATTAAGTTGTTTGTTCTGTGATGTCTCTATCTTACTGTTGTGCATCAGCAGTGGGATGGAAGATCTAAGTGAAGTCAATGCTCCAGAAACTGACTGCTTTGATTTAGAAACTTTTCTTCAGAACTGCTAAGGTCCTTAAATTGTTAAATGCTCATCTCTTCCTTAGAGATTTCTCTATCTTCAAGCAGTGCCTTGATTTCCCATGAGAGAGTATCCCTTGACGAAGAATTTCCCGTCATTCTCCTTAAAGAGAAATGGAACAAAGTACTTAACTTCCCTGCAGGCCCCTCGATAGATTTAATTGTCTTCTGTCCTCCTTGGTTTCAGAAAAAAATCTCTACATCCTTGTATTCTTTTTCAGAAATTTCTCTTGAAGAGTCATAGTGTTACTAATGTTTCTTATTTTTCCCCCGTTAATTTTTTTCTTTGTTGACATACTTTGTTCTAAATGTCTACTTAGTAACTTTTCTATTGGGTTCCAGAAGTATTTCTTTTTTATTCCACCCTTGAGCTGTTCTGCTTTCTTTTCTAATATACCTTCTGATAGAGCAGTCCTACTGGATCTCAGGAGCAACAGGGATGACTTCTAGTTGATGACATCCTCCAGAGAGTGCATGGGATGCTGCCCATGGTCTCTGGGATTCACAAGGTGCTGATTTTTCATAGGATCAGTAGAGATTCAGTTCTTCTGTTTGAAAAAAACAGTTTACTGCAGTGATGGGGAACATCTTTGGAGAACACAGGAAACTGAGTTCATAATCATTTGTGTTTTAAGGATATCTTTAGACTCTTCACATTGCATTTTCATTCACAGTATTTATGTACTTGGGCACGAATGACTCTTTCTAGACACTGCCTATTCAAGAAAATTTATTACTGTGATTGTGTTGTGATACTCTGTCAATATAGTTGTATGCTACTCCAGCAGTTTTTATTGTTCTTTGTATTTCTGTTTTCTAAATGTCTGGACTCCCAAAACTTCAGAAAACAGCAGGCAAACAAGGTGTGCTTGCAGGTGAGGCAAAAACCCTGAGTGTTCCCACTCCCTAAATGAAAATGCCTGCCCTTCTAAGTGAGGAGAAGACTACTGAGGATTCCCTTCCTGTTCTTCAGGCCCAGAATGAGATTTCAGGCAGTTGCCTCCTAGGTAGGGAGAGTTGTTTTTCTCATCTCTTCCACAGTAGGGCAGGCGCTCAGGGGAATGATGACATGACAGAAATCACAGGCTGCTGTAAAAGCACACCATCTCTTTCCCTCCCATTTATCTTTTCCTTGCCCCTCTCAACTGCAACATTTATCCTGCCAGCTGAAGTCAGAAAGGGATTCTATTTGGGTTTCAAGCTGGATTTGACCATGCAGTGTTTCAGGAGGGATATGTCTTCATTATTTTTACTCTTATCATGAATGAGTCTGTACTGGATGTTTTCAAGCACAATTGACCTTCAGTGAGATATGGATCTTGAGAGTGAGCTGACAAAGAGTAATTGGGAGAAGATACTGTGCTATCGGAAATACGCTTTCTCTGTAGCCTGCAGCTTTTAAGATCCCTATTGCTAAAATTTTAACAGGATGGCTGTAACTGTGTATTAGGCCTGATGGATGAAGAAAATCTGCCCTCTAGCACGGTGAAGGAGCCATGTCTTTACTTTCTCTTTCTCAGGGGACAGAATAGATTTACTTATTGATGGACAGGTACTGGGCTTTGTAGAGTGATTTCTGTGCGGAGTGTTCCATGCAGTACATTTCTGTATGCTCAGGTTGTTGTTGTTTTTGTTTCCTGCAAATGAGTATGTTATTGCTGTCTTTAGCAGACCAATAGGAGCTGCTGCTCCCAAGACATTGTGCCAGGGTTTGAAACTGGAAATGGCAAGGTAGATATTAGACATTGGTCTGTTGTAAAGAGTTCAGAAGATATTGTAATTACACCTCACCCTCCTCTGTATCTTCTAAGTCCTGTAATACAACAAGTCACTTTTCAGCAAGGAAAGAAACTGTGTAATTATCCTTCTTGTACAAGGATACTTGTAACATGTGGTTAACTGTGGGGAAAGTTAAGTGATTTGCCCAGAATCACAGGGAACCGAATTCGGGGGGGAGTAGGAAGGGGAGAAGGCATTTCTAACTCTGCCCTATGGTCAAACCTGGGCAGCTGCTCCTCTTCAGGGTTATACCACGGGCTGATTGTATAACCTGGGTTTAAACTGGAGTTCTAACCAGGTGTTGACTGGGGCATTGGCTTGGAAGAAACCACAGTTGCACTCAGGAGGAGCTCTTTTCCGTGGAGAGACTTTTTATAAAGCAAAAACCTCCAAACCAGAGGTACTCTGGTAGTATAGTGCTTAAAATGCACTTCTTGACAAAGTAAGTACAGATTACATTTATGTAGGGCATAATTGTACAGCGTAGTAACTCTGAGTCAGACACTGTATTCATTAAAATGAATAAATAAAAATCATGGCATGTTGCATCATAACAAAACACTTGAAAACACAAAATTGAACTTTCCTCATTGTGAAGATATCCATCCATTATTGATTCCCTTGTTTTTTGTTTTATTTTTGTTTTGTTCTTAAATTAGCAACAGCAGCAGACAGTTGTTGTCTCTTAAAAGCAGTCCACTCTTAAGCTGATGGTGTAACAGGACTGTAATCCTCTAGTGTTCCCAAACAGGCTGATGCACTTCAGGTTATTAGCAAGCCCTGCCCCATGGGTAGAGTTAGGCCAGCCATCACATAGCTGTCAGGCATGCAAAAGGGGACTTGTCTTATGATGGCTCGTCTTGAGGTTAGATTTAGATTAATTTGTGTCTGTGTTCATACTTAGTGACTCTCCATCCCCAGATGTCGTTGGTGCAGCAGTGCCTGGTTTGTGCGGAGCAGTGGCAGCTGGCAGAGCTGAGCTGCTGGGCCCTGGGTGTGCTTGCCTCTGGTGGGAATGGTTTCTCCTATGCTGTGATGCTCCACTCTTCTCTTGCCTTTTGTTTCAGTAGATCAGGGCAAGAGACAAAAAGTGGAGCTCTCTTGAAGGCTGTTTTCTCTTTGCACCAGAGCATTACTTGCAGTAAATTATTCACACCTCCATAACGTGATCTCCCTCTCTTCCTTATGCCTTATCTGTGCTTGTGATTTGCCCCAGTTACAGCCATCAGTTCCTGTTCAGCAGAGCCACAGCACAGGAGGACAGAAACATAATTTTCTTTGTACAGAATTACACCAATTTCATTTGATAGCACTGTACTAGTACTACCAGCACAGGGATGTGTATCCGCTCTCTCCTGCTTCTTTTTTATTGCTGGTGTCTTCTCCCACCTAAATGGGGTTTTGTGCTTCAGTCAATTGCTAAATAGTTCACAGGGCAGCGTGGCCTTGAGAACGGGCTCCAGTGCTGCACCCAAGGGACTGGATTCTGATTCCTGATTTTGCCCTAAATTTGATGTGTGACAATGAGCAAATCATTCTTTCTCCCAAGCATCTGTTTCTTCAGCTGTAAAATGGGAAAATGACATAAGCTGATTATATAGCCCTTCGAGGTGGATAAGTGTGCTAGCTACTGTGGACAAAGGAAAAAGCTGTATTAAATAGAAGTTGGATAACCTAGTGTTTCTCAAGTGTTCTGGTTAAGATATTTTCTAATCCTTTTTATTTTTCCAAGAGAAGCATGGAGGTACATTAGCATGGAGCAGAGAGGGGAAGCTGCACTGGAGTTTTGCATGCTACCACTTCAATACACAAAACAAACTGTGCTCTTGCTACTTCATGGTGAAGTTTTAGTGGAGAGATGCAGGGAGGAAGTTTGCCTGTACTACACATGGAGCTGGATTTGGCTGTGACCAGAATCTTGGCCACTAGTTTCCTGCTTAGGTTTCATGGCTCGATTGCATGCAGTTGAGTAACAGTGGGGATTTTTAGGGGAAACAGTGCGAAACTAAGATTAATAGTTCTGTAGACTCAGAAACTTGGGTTTAAATTTTCTCAAAAAGTACCTAGAATGTATCAGGGGCTGCAATTAGAAAAGCAACATCACGTGACTCTCTGTCCTTGCATTTCTCAGTGTGTTTAGGCTACTTGTCTGTAAAAAAAAAAAAAACAACAACAAAAAAACCCACACAACTGTAATCTTCTGTCTCTGAAGAGCAAAGAGTATTTGTGCAGTAACAAATTGTAGTTCTTGTTTTACCAATGGTTGCTTGCAAACAGAGAGTACTGTGAAGTTGGTTTTGTACTTTGCTGAGTTGCTTTAAAAGAGATGTTGTAGTGCATTTTAACATGCTTTTTCCCATCATTTTTCCTTGCCTCTTTATTTGCTAACTTTTATTTTAAAGCTGTAAATGTTACTGAATCTGATGTCTTTTGGATTGCCAGAAAAATTAATTGTATGTGAACTCTGCATATTCTTAATTGAAGTCACAGAAGACTGAAGTGCTAAAGAGAGCATATTTTTTTCCCCAAATGTTTCCCAGTCATTTAAACTGAGCAGATGTTAACCAAAAAGGCCAGCATTAAAAAAAATGAAACAAATGAAAAAACAACCCAGAAAAATAGGTTGAATAAAGCTCATTCCTATCACAGACTGACTTGGCATTATCCAGTGTCCTTTTAAATAGGCAGCTCCTAGTCCAGTCGTAGAAGTGGTAAACTAAATTTTATTGGGTCAGCCTTTTCTTTCAGCATGCCTTTTCTAACTTTCAGATGCAAAGAGAAAACGCAGCATAGACAGCTATTCATCGGATTCGTGGTTAGACATGGATGAAGAATCTTGTGATGCTCATATCCGGGAGGAAAAGGATGACAGCTTGGATAAGAACTCCAAATCCCTGGTGGATGGCTCCTCCTCACCCAACAGCACACATTCAGAAGGGAAGGAGGGTGCGGGGAGAAAACAAAAAGCCACAGTAATGAGGTACCTAAAAAGAACTTTGTCTAATGAGTCAGATGACAGTGCAAAATCAACGACCCCCACGGATTATCCCAAAACACCAACGGGGTCTCCAGCTACAGAAGTTTCAACCAAATGGACTCATCTCACAGAATTTGAACTGAAGGGTTTGAAAGCCCTGGTGGAAAAGCTTGAATCTCTCCCGGAGAACAAGAAGTGTGTTCCAGAAGGCATTGAAGATCCACAGGCTCTCCTGGAGGACATGAAGGTGAGTGTGATGGCTTTCTGATCTGTACAAGCTGTGTCCTGCAAGCAGAGGAGATAGGAGGAAGTCAGGAGGCAAAGTTCTGCAGCAGAGAGGTAGAAGCTTGTGTGCAGTGACCTCATCCTATCAGCCTGCTATGCCATGGGGAAGGAAGTTATGCCTCTGTCACAAGCCATCTTTGCACCGGGGAGGCAGCTGGTTGCAGCCTGATTTGATTGATGCAGTGCAGCCATTTCTGACTGTTGCAGCTGTGCTCAGGGGCCAAAAGTTTACATCCTTTTGCAGTTTAGCACTTATGTCCCATGTGTAAATGTTATACCTCAAGCGGTCTGTTTATATTTATAGTCTTAATCTTCTCTTTTGGGTCTCTTTTCTGGAGTGTGTATAACTGACGCGTGCAATACATACACGTGTGATTTTAATGCAGAAAACTGTCTAATGTTTCCTCTTCCATTTTTTATTCCTTTTTTTTAAAACATATTTCATTTTCTTTTCCTCCATTGCCCTCTATAGGTTGATAATTATTCTTCATTGGTACAGTGTACTGGTACAGTGTGGAGAAGGTATGAGGAGTGAATGCCCACTAGTGACAGATCTGCTCTTCAGATTTTTAGTGTGTAGGAAGTTGTAGGTACCTCGTTGGACATGGAGATAGGTTTCACCTGAAGGCCTGCATAGCTTTGCTGCTTCTATCTCTGATCTGCAGCATTCCTTTGAGTGAACTGGTTAGCTTTTCTGTACCTTGTTTTCACATCATGTGAAATAGGTGTATTAATACATTTTTAAAGTTGAGACCAGCATACTCTTTTTGTTTTGCTTGGACTTAAATAAGACTAAAATCTTTCTCCACAATCTTGGAGCCTGGAAGTGTGGTACAAGGCTCTCATCTGAGTTACAAGAGCTCAGAGAATCTCTTTTTGCAACATCAGCCACTTTGTGTACATAAGTGGATGTAGATTCACATACTGGCTTTGTGACCAGTTGTGTCCTGTTCAGAAATCTAAATGAAACTTCAAGAGCAAGAGATGGATTTGTACTGAAGGAGAAGGAATGGTAGCATCTTTTTTTTTTTTTTCCTGAAGTTTAAAGTATGGACCAAGTTCCACTTAAAAATAAACTACCCCTCCTTGAGACCCCAGGAAGAGGTACACCCTGTAATACATGGTGCAGATGTTCAGGCTGTGATTGTGCATGCTCTGTTGATGACACACTGCACTACACTGCAAGACATCTTACTAGAACATGGTGAGATACCATATGTGAATCTGGTTTCAAACGCCTTGTAGGAGCAGTGCTTGCTTGGCCTCCAGAGCAGCAGGTTCACGGTTACAGAGATGGAGAACTTTGAGTGGACACTTAAGATCCTTGTGCTCTTTCAGCGTTTCTGTGCTTTAATTGGTATGAAGTGGGCATCTGTGAGTTGATTTTGTGCCTCTTGGCAGAGTTGTGATCTTGATGTTCCATCTCCTTTGATAATTGCACAGAAAATTGCTTGCATCTAAACTCCAATCTGTGCCAGCACACACTGTAACCATCAGGATGTGCCCAACATCTGGATCTTTATGGTTCCCTGCTGGTTAAAGAGCTCATGACCACATCTAAACATCATCGTACATGCTGCAGAATGGTGTTTTCTGAAATTACCCCTGTATGTTGGCGAGCTGGGATGGATTAGTCAGTGCAAATCTTCTTGAAAGGTTGTTGCCTGATGAGTGTTCTCTTGAGTAGTTGAACTGTTGAAGAACTTTCTTGTCTTACCTATCCTTTTTAGCAGCTCTCAATTCTCAGAGAATGAGCGTTAACATGGCATAGTAAATAATTCCTGTCTCCTTGTAATCCACACGGTACTAGAACTGCATGGTTTGTTTTATTAGGTTTGTGGCTGTTAAGACAACAAAACCAACCACATCAGTACATGCTTTTACCTTCAAGGGGTAGAGGTGACCAATGGAAAAGTTGCCTGGTGACTCATTTCAGCTTCTTGAGCATCCCTCTAACACAATGGCTCTCGCAGAGTTCCTGTGATGCTTGCTGTGCAGAATGCAGCTGTTGTTGGTTTTGTTCTGTCCTTGCTGTTGAGGAACATTGTGCTGTTCAGACCCTTGGCTGAGCGCAGTGATAGCGATGTTCCCATGGGGATCTCAGTGGTGCTCATCACTGCAGCAGTCATCTGCTTCACAAGTGGTGATGGATGAACTGTTAGCCATGCTTCACAGGTAGATAACTGAACTGCAGAAAGATTAAGACAAGTGACCATAATTTTTGATACATTTTTACAGGTCTCTGATGTGATTTTCTGAATAGTTAGTGTTGTTCAAGAGCGATACTTGCAAAAGATAGTTTTAATGGTGTTGAAACTGTAATTGCTTAACATTTCTGTGGGACAGAAGTTCTGATCCTCAGCACCCGCTTCCCAACCCAGGTGTGACGGAGGGGTGGCACTGCCTGTGAAGTGTTGGCTTAAAAGGTTTTCTTTGTTGACATAATGACAGAAGAAGAAATGCAGCCCATTTTTCCAGAATGATGTTTATCTCCTTGACCACAAAATCATATTTCCTTTTACTTTGCTACCAGCTTTCCAACTTGAACAGAAAATAATGTGGGGATTTTGCTGCTAGCAATAGCGATAGAGCCTGGCATCTGTACTGCAGCTTTGATGAATCCCCAGAGCACCAGTCATTGGCGCAACTGAATGGAGGCAGAGATCCTGCAGAAAGAGCTTTGCAGATCATTTGTGCCATGCCTGTATTCAGCTGTATTCACAAGGTTTGTTTTGTGGACAACCTGAATTTTGTGCATGTGATGGATTAATAATGCAGCCTATAAAAAGCAGTCCTTTAGTACTCCCGCTTGAGAGTTATTTTTAACCAACACACAGCAAGAACATGCTCTGACAGAATGTCTGAAAGTTCATGCTCTGCTTGGAAAGTTTTCAGCTCTTGAAAAAAAATAAAACCATGTTTATTGTAGTAGTTTTATTTCTTAATGAAATACACTCAGGATCTTTTTCTCGGACATTAAAGTCTTTGTGCCTTGGATAGATATTCAGTGTTTTCAGAAGACAGGACAAGGACAGTTAACTGGAGAAAGAAAACCATTTTATTCAGTAATGCAAAGTTTCATAGAATCAGGATAATTTGCAGAGAATTCGTGGTTTCCTGTCTGAAGCAAGGATGCAGTATGTGTGAGTGGATTACTGCTCTGTGTGGTAAATACAACTACAGCTATATGCAGCTATTTAATGTCAAGTAGGTGAGACTCTCTGTAGTGAAGTAATTTGTTTTCCTTATGAGAAGGGAGAGTGAAAACTAATCTAAGCCTGTGTAAATTCCTTGCATGTTTTCTAAGCTCCTAACTAACTGTGACTATCTAGGGGGGACACAGCAGTCCAGAAGTGTCCAGCTGATGCCTCTGCAGATTGAGATTCCATTTATCACCGTGATCGATGGAGTGCAGCAATGCAAGGGAGGCTTATTTGCAGAGCACAGCACGGGCCTTACTTGGGGAGCAGGTCGGTTCTTCCTTCATCTCAAACAAGGAATTAAATAGTTGTTGACTGCAGCTCTGCTGTATGGGAATTGTATCCCATGAGCCTGGTGTTCACCACTAAAGGAGCTTCTCAGCAGCCTCCAAGCAGCGATTACTGACAGCAGTGTTCACTCCCTAGCAGATGGCATCTGAACAATCAGCAGAGGAGATGCAATATTGTCTGTATCCCAGTGTCTGCTGCTGGGCTCCGTGTGAGAGAGTATGTGCAGCAAATGTGAGGGTGCTCCACTGACCCACACTGCACAGAGAACAGAAGGCAGCGTAGCTGCTGGCAGGGTGAGCACCAGCAGGCACTGCAGCCACTGCTGCCATGTCACTGCTGTTGGTGTTACCTGTTGGAAGCACACGCGGCCTGCAGTTAAACCTTGTGTTCCATATATGCATGCCCTAAAGCTCAGGTATGAAATCATGGCATGGCTTGCTCCTTGTATTTCGACTTAAAAATGAAGTAGCAGCTGAAGTGTTACACATGTTCCTACAGTGAACAGATGAGGAAGAAAAAAAAAATAGGATGAGGAATAAATATTTCTAAGATGGTAACCCTGGGGATTGGAAGAGTTTCCTTGTGTGACTTCTCCACTTCATATTTAGCTGCCAAATGGCATGGCAGCCTGCTAAAGATGCAGTCAGGGTGGACTTAGGCATGAAGAAGAGAACAGAGAGGTAACCAACTTGCTCCTTGCTTCAGTTTGCACCCCACATCACAGACAGGTAAACCTGAGCAGTCTGCAGCCCACATTAAACACTGCCAGCACTGCTTGTCTGTATGCAGTCTCTGATTTCAGCACACAGCATTTCCTGCATTACTAGCAGGATGGTAATTCCCTTGTTGGGGAAGAGGACTGTGAGATTGGCCTCCTAAAACGCCACAGACCTTCCCCACTTCAAAGCAAAAATGCTGCTCTTCTTTGAAAGGCACTCTGGAAGTGCATTAGGGCAGAAGAAACTCAGTTTGCAGAACGGAGTTTGTCAAATATCCGCAACTCCTTGGCAGCAGCAGCAGATTCTTGTGCAAGACAGATGATATCTACTGAAATATGTTCTTACTTTTTCTTGCCAAGAAATCTTACCCTGTTCTTATTCCGATGGCAGAAAAAAAAAACACCCTCCCTTTACAGAATGCATTTCAGGGGAGTCATTCCTTGCTGTGCTTGTGAATTAATGCCTAAGCTTAATTCTTACATGCTTAATCAATTTCTTTTCTTCTTATCTGCTGTTGTCACCACAGCCTTCAAGTGCAGTGAATCAGGCGGCCTTGAGCTGAATGAGCATCAAGTTGTTTGGCTAACTGGAGTCTCATGCCTTTCTTTATCTCTGGTTTTTGTTTTTTGTTTATTTTCCCCCCTTTTTTAGCAGGTGAACAGAAGGCTGCCTCCATCCATCCCGCCTTGTGCTGACATTCGACACTTGCCTGTACAGCTGTGGCTTGGTTATGGTTCTGCTGCTGAGACATATATTGTTTTCAGCTGGCTGATATGATAAACTGCCACAGTTTTAAGTTTCTCCTTGGATAATATTTTCACATGATACATATGATAACAAGAAACCTGCAGTATTCTGCCAAGTTCTGGAACGTACTCTGCTTTCTATTGATCTCAGAGTTTCTCACAGACCTCAGTGGAAAGGTTAAGGTTTGCTGTCCTGCAAATTTCCAAATTTAAGTGTATTAAAGTAAAGAGCTGCCTTCTTCCTCTGAAGAATTTTGGTTTTGCTACACCACAAAGGCCTCTCCATTTTTATGACTGAAGAGTAACTTCGAGAATGTTGTTATGGGTAATGCTGTGATTGCTGTTCTAGTGTGAAAAGGACATGAAAAAGAGGTGTTCACTTAGCCTTGCTCAACTCCATTAGGAGTTCATTTCTATAATGTGTGTGTGAACGTTGAGGGATCTTCCACTTGAAGACCGTTGTGTTGGCTGTGTGCTGCAGGCTGTGCCAAGCATTGTGTTGCCTTTTAGTATCACTTATTTTGGTAATAGGACTGCTTTGGGGGTAGTCAGCATCTAAAGCATCTAAAAGGATAATGGGACCAGCACTGTGCTGGTTCTGTAGCTCTGATGGGAAAGCATCTCCAGTTTAAGGTCAGGTGGGTAACTGAGCGGAATCCAGCTCCAGGGAGGGAAAGCCCATGGCCACTGGTGCAGAGCCTTGCTGAGATGCTCATTGGGCTACAGTGTGTCATCGTATTTGGGTGATTACAGAGGAATTCCAAGTGTGTTTCATGTTAAAAACAATTACTGTACTTTAGGATCTCTAGCATAGTGTGTGAACTTCCTATTTATTAAAGCTCTGTGCTGGGGACTGAGAGTGCCCAGTGCCCGTTGGTGTCTAGTTAAGCTTTTTTTTGTTTTGTTTTCAAGAAGTCACTGTAATTTGGAACAACATCATTGACTTTCCTTGTCTGTGTGACCTCCTCAATTATGTTAGGAGGTAGTTTCCAACCTGCAGTCCTAGTTTGTGCTCTTGTTTTTTTTCCTTAACCTGGTAGTACTTACTCGGGCCTCAGTTTTCAGCAGCTCAGCAGAATCTTCCTTTGGACTTGTTTTTTGTTTTCGGTTGTTGTCTCTTCCAGCAGCCTGCACTCCACATGAAGAGCTTTGTGGCTAGGTTAGTAAGCACAGGGGGAGTCGCAGGGAGCGCAGACTGTTCCTGCCTGCACCATTGAGTACACTTAAAAGGAGTTGTTCTTCCCCACCCCTGCATTGAGTTGTATGGGAATGGCGGTGAGTCACAGCAGCAGGAGCTGTGTGAGCCAGCACAGCCCACTCCTGAGATTTTTAGGATGCATGAGGTTTCATCAACGCAAAGGATTTGGAGGGGGTGGGAAGGAGGGAAGACCATTCTTTTCCTTTCATACTGTACTAGCCCAAGTCAGATAATTTAGTGAATGTGCAGGAAGCTGAATGTCTGACTTGATCATGCAAAGGGAGTTGGGTTGCACCAACTCTGACCTGCACTTCCCTGTGGAAGGAAAGGCAGTGGAAATGACGGTGCTCTTGAATTGCCGTACCTAAAGGCTGCAGTGTCTGGTGGTTCTGTATCTTGGCTCAGCTTGAGTATTCAAGCATTTGAGATTCCTCTAAACTGCCCAGCCAATGCCCCGTGACTGCAGGACTAATGGTGGTAGAGTCCACACCTTCCTGGGCCTTCTGCAGAATTGATTAGGGACAGGTGCTGGTTGTGGTGGCTGCTTGGGTTTCAGCAAACTGGTGTGTACGTACAGGGAAAGGTAACATTGGTAGTAGACTGGTACCAGTGGAAAACACTAGTCTTTTGGAGACACCAGTTTTAAAGAAATCTGTAACATTTGAGGCTATTTGTCAGTGATTTTGCTGTCTGTTTTGCAAAGAAATGCATCTTTTGCATCTTAAAGACATGCAAGAGTTTCATTGTGACTTGAAGCTTTGAAGGAAAATGAACTTCCAGAGATGTAACAAATCAGTGGAGCGCACATCACTCTTCTTCGTGAGGGTGGGATATTACATTCGTGAAGTCTCTGTGCTCCTAAGTTGGAAGAATATTCCTCTGGTTAATAAAGACCTTTTCGTTCACAACAGAACATTCTGAAAGAACATGCTGATGATGACCAAAATCTTGCGATTTCGGGTGTCCCTGTGGTCAGCTGGCCCAAGAAGACCCCAAAGGTAATGAGACACGATTACCTACTAATCATTGCTGTGCCAGGTCTTGGTGGTTTTTCTGCTGTATTCTGGCAAAGTGTTTCATATGATACTTAGGCAGCAGCTATCACTTCCAACATGGAAGGTTATTTTTGATAATTTTATGACTATATGTTGAAGCAGAACATAAAGGTACGTCAGTAGGGAGAAACGGGCAGTTTCTATTTAAAAAAGAACTTGTTTAGGCTTCACTTATCTGCATAAAACTTGGATATGACTTGGTCATTCACTAATTGCAGCTAAATCTGAAAGTGTTGATGTAATATTTTGTGTAAGTTTCAATGCCATGTAAATGCTATAGACCAGTCACTTAGTAAATACTTGGGTCTGGATGAGGAGGTGTTTCTTTTCTTATACTGTGAGAACTCCTATATTTTCTGTACATCTTCCACTAACTTCAAAGGGTTGTTTTCTGTACCCATACCTTCATTTTTCCTCCTTTATATGGGAGTAATTTTCTTCACAAAACTGTGAGGCTTGCTTCGTTAATGCCTGCAAAGAATTTGAAATAATTAAGAATAAAGTCAAAAGGGTGACTGTTATTTATAACAGTGGTATGCTTGCCACACTCCAGTTATTCAGCATGCTGTAAAAGCAGCTTTGCTTATTTAGAAGATGTCTCATCGCTTCTATTTTTACTGTCATTTTTCACTGAATTAGTTTTATAATACATAGTTTCCCTAGAAATGCTGAAAGGGTCAATCAACTTAAATCAGGCTTCTATGTGAAAATCTGTTGTTACTATGATTGTATATAACTTTCAAATCATTAGCTGAGCAAATTACTTTCCCCGTTCTCTCTTTGCTGGTGTACTTGCTGTGGCTGTACATTTAGTCACTTGTAGCTGAGAGTTTGCTGTTTTCAGATGGGAAGTGGGAAACCATAAACTTCAGCAGCTGCCAGGGAAGAGTGGAGCAAAGTGAGCAGGAGTTGTGCTTCTGGTTTATTTCTGTCTTTTAGCTGGGTGCATTTCAGATCAGTTATATCTTGTCAAATACGTTTTTCCCTTCTGCATTATAATAGATCCATAGAAATATGCATTGTGTTTAAAACATTGATGTAACTGAAAATAACAACTTACTCAAACAATAATTTGTTTAAAAACTGTGAGAGGAGTAGGTGTCAGATTAGTCACTCTGCTGCTCTGATAGCTGCTGTTCGTTCACTGGTCAGGTATCTCCAGACATGGAATAAAGCAGGATCTCTGTGCTTGGAGCAGAACTGGTATGTGAAACTTGCAGAACAGATCTAAGAAACAATTGGTTCTTGTGCTGTGTTTTTTGAGCGCCTGGTAGAAGCAAGGATCTTAATGTTTGGAGGTTTTTAGAAGCTTTGGTGTTTGCTCGTGTTCTTGTTCATTTTATTTTGGAATTGTCAATAGATGGCTCATTGCTTATATTTGGCAGCATAACTGTAACTGTAAAAGATTCTGATTTTTTTGTGCAATTTTATCTCATTCCTTTTTGCAAAATCCATCTTGCTGGCTGCAGGATTTTGGCTTTTTAGCTTTCTGGTGCTTGTTTTCCAGTAGCCTTTTTAAAAGCAGAATGTTTTAAAGGCATCCATGCTAAGTTACAATAACAATTGTATGCATCACAGAAACAAGAGGAAGACTTTCACAGAGTCAGGCTTTATCCTGAAGCTGGCAAATGGAAACTTGTAACAGAAGTAGTTCTTTCACCACAGTCTTCGTACTTACTTTAATTAATCAGTGATTAATTGGAGATCAACTTGTGTTATGCTGAAGCTGAAAGGCTTGCAGCAGATAGGGCTGAATGTTTTGCAGAAGAAGCTTATTTCCTGGACTCTTCTAATGCCAGACATCTGTATCGCCTGCCATGTCCCAGCTGCCTCCCTCCTCTGGGAGCAGGCCAGGAGGACACGTCTTAGTGTTGTGTCTTTGAGCCCCAAATTAAAATACGTTAGAAAGACAGTATAGGAGAAATCTGTATAAAAGCAGTGATGTAAGTGGTTAAGCTTCATTAGCTTTCCTTTGTCCCCTGTGAGTCCTGATGATGAAACAGAAGGTTTGACAGAGAAGAAAACCCTTAGGGAGGATGAACTCCCTTAAAATGGGGTTTCAGCTGGTGGAGCAGGGCTGGAAGGCTCCATGAACATTGAGCGCAAGGCAGGGAAGTAACACCTGGTGGTAGTTTTGCTTGCTGCAGTGTTACTCTTCCAGCATACGGGAGAAATGCCAGATATTTCAGTGTCTTTCTGGAGATGTTGGTGTGAAAAGGAAGGGCAGATAGGGTGCAACGTGGTACTGGCTTTGGTGGGGCTGGTGTGAAGACATTACAGTGGTACACCAGCTCCAGGGGGAGGAGGATGTCTGATTTAGTCCTTTAAGCAAAATAAGCAAAACTGAAATTCAGGAAGAGCAGGCAGTAAATGAAAAAACGTGGCTCTTCCTTTCTCCCAGGAGAAGCCTCCAGAAGAAATTTAGAAAGACAAGAGCAGCAGATGGAGAAGGAAGAATAAAGCCGGCACTAAATGCCAAAACATTTCAAAGAAAATGGAAATGACTGTAAAGAAAGGAGGGGAAGAGACTACAGACAGCAAGAGAGGAGGATGAGGAGAGGACCAAGCATTTAAAAGAGGTGGAATGAGGAAAACATAGGGCAGAGGTAGAAAACTCTTGGAAAAGTAAAACATCCTTGGAGAAGGAAGGGCTGGTGAATGGCTTAAGCTTGTGAATAACACAAGATGTGAAAGGCCCTGCTTAGCTAGGCTGACTCTCTTTGGAAATAATATATCCTTAGTAATCAGTGATTATAGAAGCAGCAAATAATATTTCCCTTTAAAATTGAGTCACAGTTTCTTTTACGCGCTGTTGGTGTGGTGTGCCAACAGCGTGCACAGCTCTGCACTGCAGAACAGCAGTTTGAAGACTGAAATTCCAGGGCTTAGAAAGGAAACGTGTTCTCTCCCCTTGAATTTCAGTTCAGAGTGGATAAGGCAACGGGCAAGACACTGAATTAAGTATGTGAGTCCCATCCATATGCCGTGGCCCCATTTCACATTGCTTGTGTCTATCCTTTCTAAAGGCATTTGGGGCTGTCAGATTTACTGCAGCTCTCTCTAAAAAATTTATTCACTGAGAAAAGAAACAGAAGTAGCAATCAAAAATGTTTTTGCGAGGAGATAAAATAAATAGGCAGCATTTGATGATCTTATATTTGGTGTACAAAATGAGAGGCAAAGGTCTGTGTTCTGTTCCCAGCTCTACTGCAACCTGGTGTCATACAAGGCAAATGACACCTCTCCTCTCCCTGAGCCTTCCCAGATTAGAGGATCCTGCTTCTCTTCCCAGGAGTGAAATTAATCTTTATAAAGATCTGTGAAACATTCAGCAGAAAGCTTTGTAGTAAAACATCCGGATCATTATTATTTTATGGTAATAGGGGAGTAGCATGCAATTCATAGGCACCTCTTCGGGATCATACTTACTCATCTTTGTGGCTTTTTTGCAAGAACCCTTTTGGAAGTGAGAATTGGCCCTGGAAGAGAATGTTTTCAGAAGTCCATTTTCAGAAGAGGCCTATCTGCTAATGATTCATTTAACAGTATGTTTGATTTGCTGAGGATCCTAGGATATGCACAGTGATCCTAATTTAGTCCTCATCAGAGGATCAGGAATGTGAAATGTTACGTGTCCTGACGTAGGGCTGACTGCGTGTGTACCTGCTGGCTAGACAGCACATTTCTGCTGGCAAGCGTGCAGCTGTTAATATGTTCCCAGCTTTGCTGGTTTGTGCAACAGTAGTTTGTCCTTGCTTGGTGCTGAGCCCTGTGTTTTATTGCAGTGACAGTCTGCTGTGCGAAAGGAAGAACTCTGTAGGATGTACTGCCTCAGGTTTTTGATTTCTTACCCTATGGGAGTGAGAACAAAGTGTACGAAATGAGCTCCTTCCCAGCCCTGGGATGTGGACTTTGGGGTGGTGGGCAAGGGGAGCAGAGCCTGGCTTACACTAAAGTCACCACTGTGGCACATCTGTGATCACTGATGTAAAGAGCTGCCATCAAAGGTTGTCTTGAAGCCCTCCCTCAAGATTTTCAGCCCTACAGTACTGGATTTCCCATTTAATCTGTGCAAGGATTAGGGCTAATGTTTTATGAAAGGACCTCAGAGCAGAAAATACGTATTTTTTTCCAGCCATTTCCTACTTCTGGAAGGCAATAGTCAGCTGTAGTAGCACGTAATTGCACTCTGTGGAAGTGCCTTCTGTTTTTATTGTGATAAAGATCTTTAGCTGTCTATGAAGAGCAGCTGTAAAGAAGTAAAATGTGTTTGGCCTGACTCTGTTGTTCTGTGAAGAGTGAGAAATGCAGACAGAGCTGGATTCTCATCTCTTTTACCTGACACAAACCTGGAACCACTGCATTTGTAGTGACAGCAAGCATCCAGGTATATACGGGTCTGGCTGGGAGCAGGAGATGAAGCTGTAATTTTCAGTGGCTGGTTAATGATACTGGAAAACATGGCTGGTTTTTTGACCCTTTGCTCATTCACTTTTTTCATGATATTGTTACTTCTTGATTTTAAGAGAAGATACTTGAAAAGTATTGGAGGGCAGTGCTAATATCCCTGTTTAAAATTAATGACTACATGTCGCAACTTGAAATGTTTGTCTTTCTAGTAGCTGTGGCATCTTGCAACAGTGACCCCACATTTCCTTTTGTTGTTTCAGATCTGTTCCTTCATATCAGAAATACACTCCATGTATTCTGAGGAATTGGAGCGAGGTCCCATTTGCCCTCTCTGTGCTGTGCTGTTACATCCCTGTTACTGCTTCTCAGTTGCTTTTTTCATACTATTAAGCTGGAAAGCAGTAGTAACTTTGGTCTTTTCCAGTACAGAAGCCATACCACGTTTGATCATCTCTATGGTTTTATTCTAGTTCCGCTAGAGGTGGTTTTGAGATGAGGGTGGGTATGGGACTCCAGGACCACAAATAGTATTA